AATTATTGACTACGGCATTGGTGCGACAAGTAGCAATTGACTATTGTAGTCTTAATTAGACTTAGCATATACGCACGAAACACTTAGCATATACATGACTATTTTAGTCTTAGTATGTAATATTATTTAAGTTTTAATATAAGATTATTTTATTTGTAATTAGACTTAGTATATAATTATTTACTAGCTAGGGTTGTATAATATACGTCACCTAGACTTAGCTTATATCACGATTTGTAATTAGACTTAGCACGTAAGGTTGTGTAGGGTTCTAATGTACGACATTTACACTTAGCATACATGACTTAGATTGTTAAAACATAAATGTCTCGTGACTTAGCATATACACACGAAACACTTAGCATATACATGACTATTTTAGTCTTAGCATGTAATATTATTTGAGTTTTAATATAAGATTATTTTATTTGTAATTAGACTTAGTATATAATTATTTACTAGCTAGGGTTGTATAATATACGTCACCTAGACTTAGCTTATATCACGATTTGTAATTAGACTTAGCACGTAAGGTTGTGTAGGGTTCTAATGTACGACATTTACACTTAGCATACATGACTTAGATTGTTAAAACATAAATGTCTCGTGACTTAGCAGATGTTTCTTGTATCAACAGATGGCTGACCGCGATGAGGAACAGATATTGTACGATACAATCGCGGAGGGAAGCAGCCAGTACTGGAATGAAGAAGAGGGGAACGAGGATCCAAACCAGTACTTGAACGAGGAAGGGAACGTGGAGAGGGATGCGGAGGTGAACCAGCAGGGGCACGTGGAAAGGGATGTGGAGGGGAACCAGGAGGAGGAGGCTAGTGGTAGTCAACCCTCCGTTGGACAGAAGAGGGCACGCGGGCAACGAGGTGGAGCGAAGAAGCTTGAGGGTCGGCACATCATAACGGAAGTGGAAGAAGTTGGACGTCCTAGTGCCCCGGCCGAAGCCGCCAAGAACTATGTACGTCACAGCGGTTGGGTTGTGCGGGATAACGTGCCTGTCAGTACGGTGTACTGGCGAAGAACAAGGGCACGCGGAGATCATGAGAGCTTTGTCCCAGATTCGGAGAAAGAGATGCTGTGGACCACAATGCTCGAGACATTCACCCTTCCTGCGGGTACAGAGGACAAAGTGAAAAGGTGGACTCTGAAGAAAATGGCAGAACAGTTTCAGAGCTTCAAGGGAGATCTGTACCAGAAGTATATACTGAAGGGGCAGACACCGAACTTCGACACATTCCCAAAGCTAAGGGATCACTGGGACGAGTTCGTTGCATATAAGACAGGTGAACAAGGGCAGGCGATGATGGAAAGAAACAAAGAAAATGCCGCCAAGAAGAAGTACCATCACCACTTGGGGTCAGGAGGCTATAGCGTCGCGATGCCGAAGTGGGAGCAGATGGAGGCTAGCTTGATTGAGAGGGGTATCGAACCGGCAACAGCCAATTGGCCGGAACAATCAAAGTTCTGGTACTATGCTCACGGTGGAACGCTCAACCCAGCTGATGGCTCACTGGTCTTCGGCTATCAGATACGAGAGGCTGCGCGACGACTAACAGATGCAGTGGAAGCCTCCTCTCAGGGCACGTTCCGACCAGACAGAGATAGGGACGAGCTGACACTCGCCCTGCAGACTCCAGAGCATCCAGGACGAACTCGAGGGAAAGGGGTGATTCCTTGGAAGATTGGTTTCAAGGAGGACATCCACACGTACAGGAGTCGGATGAGGAGCAAGAGAGATACCGAGGCGAAGATTGCAGACCTAGAGTTCCGGGTATCGAGCTACGAACTCAACATGCAAGAGGAGGTGGCAAGGAAGGTTGATGAACGCATGGCCGCACATCGGTCCCATTATCCCCAGCCGACCATTCCTCCTGCAATGGTGAGCCCGTCAGGAAACCGTAGCAGCTGCGCCTCAACGGGGCAGGTAGGATCACAGAGCATGGACGCCATGCAAACACAGGACGAATCGACCTGTCCCGTTGATGACATCACTCAGCGGACACCATGTGAGCTGCATATTCCTTTCAAGAACTTATCAATAAAGGTAAGATTTAGCCATTCCGCTAGTTGCTGCTTATATATGTTGATTACTAATAAATAATCTCTCACAACATGAAGGTGGCGTCGGGCATGGCCATCCCAACGGACCCTTCAGGTACTTACCACTGCAGGCCGATTCCAGCAGGATACTCGAAGGTCGAAGTTGAGTTGGTCGAAGGCGCGTACGAGGACCTCGAGCTGGATTACCCTGGAGGAGACGGTGAGACGCATCTACGAGACACATGCCATGCCATTATTCTATGGCGCAGGCGGTACATCATCCTCCCTGGGCAACAAGCGGCGTCTCATGCACCATCTCCTCCGGCTCCGCCATCTCCTCCTCAGGATCCTGCACCGTCTCCTCCTCATGCTCCCCCAGCACCGTCTCCACCTCAGGCTCCAGCATCGACTCCTCCTCAGGATCCTGCACCGACTCCTCCTCGTGCTCCTACACCTACTCCCCCGCAAGCTCCTCTTTCGGCACCTTCAAAGTCAAGGGCCCCCCAGCTCCACCGCCTGCCCACACAAGGGCAACGAAGAAGGCGAAAGTTGACGCCGCCAAGAACAAGGACCCGGGGTACGATTGCACGCAAGAGGAGCTTGACGCTTACGTTGCATCAGAAGTCAAGAGACAATTCAAGCCTCGAAGTCCAGAAAAGAAGATTCCTATAGACCCTAGTGTCAGGAACTTCTTCAGGGGTATGTCTGCATCTGTCAAGGAGGCCATCAAGCTATCAGACTATGAGCGAACGCTGAAGAAAGCATCTTCTGGAAAGTCCAAACCAGTCCCTCAGCTTGGAGAGCAACCAAACCAGGAGATCGAGCCGTTGGTGACCGGTAAAGAAATGACGATAGAACAATTTATTACTGACACTGGTCTAACTACGGATCAATTGCTAGGAGTCGCACCAATCGAAAAGGCGGAAGTGAAATACATGTACGAACTCGGTAAACCGCTTGTCAAGCCTGAGCTGCTGCAGTCCCTACCCACACAAATGTACAAGTTCCATCAGCTGTACATGGAGATGAGCGCCACCGGTAGAGAGATGATCGGAGCGAGGATCAAGGACACTGACTTCTTGCAAGGAGATGACATTCTCTGGATCAATTTCAGGGGAATCTACGAACTATACCAGCTGGACGCCCTCGACGTCTCTATTATGAGTTACTGGATTTTGTAAGTATATCGTTCAGTTAGATTTCTTACTATACGTCTCCTTTAATTAATTAGGTCCTTGTATATAAGTATACCATAGAAAATAATATACTCCCTTTTATCGTTGTAGAATGGAGATTCAAAGGGCCCGACGGCGGAGGGTTTTCGATACTGGATTCATCGACCCTCGGAAAGTAAACGTCGCAATGCTCGACCAATATCCACAAGAAACAGAGGACAATCTCGTCCATCTCCTGAAGGCGCAGCATTACAAGACGTTCATACTGTTGCCATACAACACAGAGTTAGTTTAATTTTACTGTCTTCCTACATACCAAATTTCATTCCCGTACGAACTTGCTAAGTGTTTCATATGTAATGCATCCCACGCACATTGCAGATTCCACTGGGTGCTTTTACTCATCGACCTGGAGGCCTGCACCGTCAACGTATATGACTCAATGGATAAAAAAGAGTCTACGTTTGACAAGGTTTTCGAACTTATAGACAGGTACCGTCATAAGTTCCTTTGTTAATTAAGAAAATCTTGTTATGTTAATTGCTACTACGAATCATAGCTTTAAACTCCATGTAGGGCTTGGTATCGGTTCCGTCATTTGGTCCGCGGCAAATGGAGAGAAAGACTTAGGCGGAAGTTCAAATTTCCTGTGAGTACACATGCTCTACATTTATATTTCTCCGATTCAAATACATACAAGTGTATATTAATTAGATCTCTCGTTGTTTGTCATTTATTTGTAGTGCGCAAAGCAAAAGCAGGGAACTAACTTGTGCGGCTATTACGTGTGCGAGTATTGCCACTGCCTTGCAGACCAAATCATCACCACAAGAGAGCTCGATGTACGTACAAATAAATTCAAAATTTCATTACGTAGCGATTTCTTGTTTAATTACTAATCAATTTCATACATTCATATAGTTTATTCGCATGAGGGATAACCTGACCACACACAAGGAATTTATCGCGGTGGTTCAAGAACAACTCATGGGATTCATCAACGAAGAAATCCTTGATCCCAAGGGTGAATTCTACTACGACGGAAACACAATTCACCGGTCCTTAGCTTCTGAGCTAGCAGCGAGTACTACTACGTCGAAATCGTAGCTAGCTAGGACATATAATGGATTATAATTAATACATGACTACATATGTTTCTATATGCATGTGTACACATTTTCTATAATGTAAATATATTTTGTTCATATATATATCTATATACATATGCATTTGCATAACATATATATGTATAAATACATATATATTATGCATGTATATACATATAATATAATATAATATATATATATATACATATATATGTATGCATATATATGTATTGAAACATATATATGCATGGTTTATATATATATATATATATATATATATATAAACCATGCAGCAACAGGGGCATGCAAAAAAAAAAAAAGGTCAGCTCGATCTTTAGTCCCGGTTGGTAAGATGGCTCAGCCGGCCACGTGGCTAAGATAGCGATCTTTACTCCCGGTTATTTCACCCGGGACTAAAGATAGCGATCTTTAGTCCCGGATTGGTACTCCCGGTTTGGAAACCGGGACTAAAGGGGGGTTACGAACCGGGACTACAAAGGGTTTCTCCACCAGTGATATGTGTCAATTTCACAACTCATAACGCTCGAATACTGCACATAAAATGTGCCATGATTTAGTTTACCCGTTGAAAAGCACAGGCACTTTTCTAGTGTGTAAAAAAATATTGAGGATAGAAAAAAAATCAAAAAATATGACTGCTACAACAATTTTATTAACCAGTACTGTTACAGCAAAAAATGGAACAACACACATGCAATGGTATCTGAGAAACAACAGCCCAATACATCAATCCTTTTCTTCATAAACATCCAAAGGTACAGTAATTAAGATAAATCTTCAACATGATCAATATAGTTCTTCAGCTCAGTGACAACATCCATCAGTCTTAAATTCGAACAGAGCACCTCCGCAAAGTCCTCTTGCCTAGCTCGAATATTGAAAAGGTACAAGAATTTCACCCATCAGTCTCAACAGGTACATTCAAAAGGATCTGAAAGAGACAAATCATGGACATCCTTGATATGCACCCAATCATAATAACATTTCTTGGATCTAAAATGAAAGTGAGCAGTTTTTGAAGCCCTTTTCTCAAACTCCAGCAGCTTAGGCTGTTCTGCAATAACATATGTGTTGTCGTTGTTAGGTCCACTCATAAATATCATATTCTCAAGCTTAGCCGCATTCCATATGAAGAATCTGGCGAACTGAACTTGCGGCTTCGAGCCACGATAATCATCCAGCACAATAGTCTTGAGACATATGTTAAGGCTTTTGATAGTTTTCCCATATTTGCGGCGCCAGTAATTAGTTTCCCCATATTTGATCCCCTGAAAAAAAAATTGGGGAATAATAGATTAAATACCTTCTGATTATGTAAACTAACAAAAGAAGTATGGCAACACAGTACTTGAAAAGAAAAGTATTTTACCCTGATGTACAGTTTCTCCAAGCATGGAAAGCATATCATTAACTTGATAACCCTGTCCAAGCTGAGATTATCCATGATGAGAGCTAAAACCTTTACACTCGACACTGGCCTTGTGAAGTTAACAACCTCGAATCCCTTTATTAAGTACGGAACATAACATTAGGACATGTCGATCATATTTTCTACTCCCCCAGTCTAAAAATATAGCTACCTACTACTACGATTAGACACCAACTTAAAACTTCAAATCTAGGTAGGGTTTCTGCAGATTTGTAGTACTATAGGTGATGTCTAAACGTATTTTGGGATGGCGGGAGTAGATAATGGATATCTAATCAAGTAAAAAAATTATATCCAGCCGCTACATCTACTGAGGATGCACACAACCAAACAAAATCATAGTGTGCAAGAGCTTGCTATCCTGTAAACTTAAGCGATAATCTAGTTAGTATGCCATAGTCTTTAGAACAGTGACATGAAGAACGAATGATTATATGCTCAATGATGTTGTCTAAATCAGCCTAATATCATCTAGAGAGAACTCTAAGACAATGGACTGGACGTACATAGCTATACTCTAACACCACATATTATTAACAATATACGCACATAGAAATTAATGTAAAATGCAGCTTGTAATTAATCCCAATAAATTGCTAGGGGGTTATAGGGATAATGGAAGCCACAACTACATATACATATATTATACCTTGAAAACCACTGTGCCGAAATTGAGTCGGGAATAGACATCGTTAACGTTGTCTAGGATGCCCAATGTCTCCAGTTTGGGTGCCATAATCACGGATACACGAACTCCAAGTCCCATCGAGCGTTCAATATGGAGCAACTTTTCAAGACATGGAGCAAATTCGATGATAACATTTTCTAAGTGATAACCCACCTCTCCATCGCCGTGACTCCCACAGTAGGGAGAATGGAAGGCGACGCCTCTAATGGTAGGGGAGTTGATCCGGAGGCATCGGAATCCGTAGCTATTTCTGAGCAGCAAACCTTCCAGGGCAGGGCAGCCGGCGATGATGCTATGGAGGGAGGTTTCGGAGATTTTCACCTGCCGTAATGAGAGCAGCTTGAGATGGGGGAACTGGAGCATCAGGTCGGTGCAATCAGGGACGCGGCATTGGCTGAAGGCAGCGACGCGGAGGGTGTTGGAGAAGCGGAAAATGGATGGCGGCAGCGGAAGGAGTTGTCTCATATAGCAGAGGTCTTCCGTGAACTCGAGCTCCTCGAGGTTGTTGAACCTTGGCGATGTCAGCCAGCCTTCGACCATGGCGGGGCGCTCGTGGATCTGCTGCGCGGGGATGCAGAAGCGGCGTACGGGCCCCGCATGAGCGAGGAGTATATGGGTGAGGAGGACGGCTAGCGCCGCCCCGTTGGCGCCGGGGGCGAGATCGCTGGCTTCGAGGTTGAGCGGCGTGGTGCGCTAGACAGGGCGCCACCGTTTGGAGAGGGTTCTGGTCTTACCGCCGTCCTTGCTCGGGAGGAGCGAGATGATGATGCCAAGAACGGCGTCAGGGAGGTGGCTGACGAAGTCGACGCCCTCCTCGCCGCCGTCTCCTCCAACTCCGAGTGGCGGAGGTACATGGCTGCGCCCCCTTCTGCTCCCCGTGGCCAGAGGCAGCGACGGCTTGCATGGTGGTGCTGCTTCATCCGGGACCGGGTCGTCGCCCTTCGTCGCCCCCCTTCCCCTCTTCCTGGTAGGCTTCCTGGTAGGCGGTGGCGGCGGCGGCGGCGGCGGAATCGGCGGATTTGCGGGCTCCATCTCCTCTCCAAGGGCAGCGTCCAGAACACGCGGTGTGTCTGTCGGTGGCGGCGTTGCACGCATCCCCCGATGAGATAGATAGCTACAGCCGCGTAGCCCTAGGTCGGCTGCTCCTACTGGAGTCCAACACACCGCGGATCAACTGGGCCTGCACTTCTGTCTGACAACTGGGCCCGCACCTGTCCGTCTGACTTTCTGGCCCATATATGAAATACTAGTACTAGCCCGAACAAATATATCATTAGTGGCAGCTTACATTTTTTTTCCGAACAAATTTATCTTGTTTACAACTTTATTAGATGTCCGAACCAATATTTTGAAGTGATGCAGCCAAGCTGATTGGTTGTCACTGCATAATGCATACTGCATGAATTTGCTGATGTATATATAAGCCGAGCTCCTGCGCGTACTTAGCTTGGAGCACATGGTGATTATTGCATGGCATGTCTCGGAAAGAGTGGAATTAGCGGGTTTTCCTATGCCCCAAACTCTTAGACAATAATGGTGTCAATGCCCATTAAACGCAAGAACGACGGTCTAGCCTGTGGTTATTTGCATATCCACGGTAGTGATACAGTTAACTCTCATGCGATATACTCCCTCCGTACTCGTAAAGGAAGTCGTTTTGGACAATGTTTAAGTCAAACCTTAGAAATATAAATCATAAATAACTCTCAAGTTGTTGAGTTTGAAAATGTAAAAATTATATGAATAGATTTGTCTTGAAAAATACTTTCATAAAAGTATACATATATCATTTTTCAATAAATTTTTTTATAGAAACAAGAAGTTAAAGTTGTGTTTTGGAGACCGTGTCGCTGTCCAAAACGACTTCCTTTACGAGTATAGAGGGAGTATTGTACTCTATTCAGCTATCTTTAGTTCGTTTGCATAATTAATAATTTGGCTCTATATATAGATAGATCGAGCTACTCTCACTGCATAACAATTGTGAATCGGCGGTGATGGAGCTTCGTCACTATCGGTTCATAAAGGAACCATGAACCGGCAAAGATGAACCGATACCCAAGATCATGTTCGGAGTGAGGAAGAAAGAGGAATCCGATATTTCATGGCCGGAGCAAACACATCAACAGAAAGTATCACTTCGTTCATGAATGTGTTGAAGGTGGTCAGATTTAGATCGAGTATAGAGGCGACACATCGCATGTTAATTTTTCCATGTACTATGTGTTGAACACATCAAGTCAATGATGTTTGAGGTCCTACGTAACATTCCCTATGATGATGAGTGGACTATGAATCGCAATAAGCAACTCCAGCTGAACAATAGAGCTTCCAGGGGTGCGCAGTTTGCGTTTAGAAAATCTAAAGATTTGATGATTTCAGGAATATCAACCATGCATGCTTCTGACCTGTTAATGACACATATCCCTTTGCATTTAGATATGGCAGATGTAACTGCTAGAGTCTGTTGAAAAGCTATCTAAGTCCAACATACATTAGTTTTAAAGCTTGTGTTTCTTCTACTCAGGTGTCCGTGCATTGCAACAGATCTTAAATAGATACTTCCTCCATCTCAAAATATAGTTATTTTTTAGGTTATACGGGTATTAAGAAAGTATGTGAGAATGATTAGAGAAAGTATGTGATTGGTTGAAAAGAGAAAATAGACAAAGAATAATGGTTGTGATTGGTTGAGAGGAGGAGGTAGGTGGAGAAATAGCTTCATTTTAGGACAAGACACTGTGCTAGAAATAGCTATATTTTAGGACGGAGGTAGTAATACGACATGGTCTAACGTGAATGAAAACATACAAACGTATATCTGAATTATTGTATGCCTTCGAGAAAATGTAAATCAACTGTAATACTACAAATTATAAAATATAAATTCCAAAGGAATGCATATGCGCCATGGATGTACGGACTCATAGACCAACTGTGGGACCAATTATAGACTTGTGATTAGAAAGTAATCAGATTGTCTGCTAAACACCAAATTATTAACAAATATCAAGTCATCAGTCATCACATTTTGGGGGTTGGACAATGATCGGTTATATGTAAGTACCATGCTATCTTATCCTCGAGAAATCAGGAAGGCCCTCGATGGTCGATGGAATAAAATAAAGGCTGCCGATTCTGAAGAAAGAAACTCTTCAAGGGCTTGAACCTAGCAAGATGAACAGGTATAATAGTGAGTTAGAACAAGATATAGGCTCTTTTTAATTTAAAACATTCAATTATGTATACTGGCTGTCAATAAAAAAACAACTATAGGGGCGCGTAGGTTTGATCTGGTTTCAGTCGGTGGTGACGTTTGCGATGAAATAGCTAGGTCAAGACTCGAGAGAGACGCCACCTGGTCGGCACTGTCCCGCATCAATGTGGGCCCGCTAGCTGCACCTCCGTGTTTGATGTTATGGGCCCCATTCGAGAGGACCAATTTGTCTATGTCATTTTGGTCCATATCTCTGATGAGTCATGAGCCACGCAATGCAGTACCCATATTCTGTGAAACAGTTATTTCTATAAAAAGAAATGTTCGAGAGAATATTTCAGACTTTTTCCATCCTCTCTTAGCCACTTCCAGTTGAATTGTTGAAGTGCACGTACATATTCACTCAGCTAGTTTGCATCGACTGCCCATGCCGTGTAACTGTATCGCATGTGCTTATATTTGTAAATTTAATACTAGCTACCAACGTCAAATAAATATGACTAATGGGTACGTAATGCGTATTGCATTACATGTCCGAAAAAGAACGGAAAACTAGTGGGTTTTCCCACAGCCAAATTCAACAATGGTGTCAATGCCCATTAAAGGCGAGAATAACGGTCTATTTTGTTATCCATATAAGAAAGATGGGGACAATTTATGCAATAGATCATCAAAGCCTATTATGCTATCTTTAGTTGGTTATCGTATACTTAATTGTCACCCACTATTTGTAGTTCTCTGGTAAACAAGCACAAGTGTATAAATGACGACATCATGCGTGAGAGCATATTATCAAGAAAAAGCCAAGCCAGTAGATTTCATATGTATGGTTCCCACAATCCCGCTCTTTTTTCCTACAATATTTTGCCTTACATAGCTTATAAGTGTCTGCAAATTTTGAATTTTCAAATTAAATTTTGAAGTTGGTTTTAATTTTTTTTATAGAGCTTGCTTTTAGTATTAGCTTTTAAATCAATAAAGACATATAAATAAAAGTTTCACCTACAGATTATAATAACATGTACGGCTTATAATCAGTATGTGTGGCAAACCGATTATAGCCTACGGCTTAATTATAGGCATTTGCTCAATTTTTTTTGTTTTCTTTCATATAGGTTACTACAGCAACATGGGGTGTATCTTCTGGATTTAATTAACTCTACAGATTAATTAAGCTTGTCAATTCCAGTATGGCTGGAAGGCCATTCCAATTTGGATATTGGGACAATATTTCGATATACTCGACGATATCAGTCTACCTTGATGGGGTTTAACGAAAGTGCAGACAAATTATTATGCAAAATTTCACAATATTTTGCATGTAAATGCTACCTTGCTAGTATAGTTTTGTAAGCTCATTAAGAAAACTAAATACACCGATAATATCATGTTTTTGTTTGTGATAAATTAAATAGAAAAAGGAGAAAATTAATTGTATAACATCAAAAAAATTGATGAACTTATATATAATGTGACACAAGGATTTTTTTTTTCAAAAAGTAATTGTTTCTGTTGTATAATTGTGTAGAGTGTATGTAGGGATATCGTTTAGTGTGATCTGTTGAATATTTCACTTTGTGCGGAAATTTAATCCTTGATATTTATAAGTACGTTTTGGTTTCTGAGCAAATTTCCAGAATTATATCCTTATAGAGTTATGTACAATCTAATTTTTCTTATTTAAATAATTTTGTAAGAGCTGAAAGGTTCTCTGAATTCTCGATTTCTTATGCTTGAACATGTATGATCATGCTGGTAAGTTTTCATGCTACCAGATTAAAAAATCAGTAAAAAGAGTGTATTTTATGAGCAGAAGTGTAAGCAATGCACAAACACATATCAGTGTTTCCAATTTAGGTGGGCGGAAGCTGTGAGAGCCCTTTAGTTCACGTTTATTGGGCTGAAAATAGAACTAGCTACTACAGAAACATAGATTACTTCCAGTTTGTAAGCCTGCATAGGTGCCGGTTTCTGTAACCGGCGTCACACAAGCGGCACTAATTAATGAGCCATGTGATAGATGCCGGTTTTAGAACCAGTACCTATCGTCAGACAAAAAAAAAAGGGAGCCAGCTTGATGAATTGAGCAGATGCTTCGACTGCCATACCCAAGATCCACATTAAGGCATAGATCACACTGGTGGAGAAACCATTTTTTGTCGGTCGGCCGAATTCCATAATAGTCCCGGTTGCAATAAAAACCGGAGCTAAAGATGATCTTTAGTCCCGGTTAAAAAGGGTAACGGGCATATTTGGTCTTTAGTCCCGGTTGGTAAGATGCGGTTCAAATGCTATCAGGGTTTGTCAGCCCCCTCCCCCCCCCCCGGGATCTAAAGATCGTAACTTTAGTCCCGGTTGGTTACCAACCGGGACTAAAGATCTCGGCAATCTTTAGCCTCGATTCATAACACCAACCGGGACTAAAGTCCCACCCCTATATATATATGTCTTCTTCCTCCTCCAGCTGCCCGAGCAAGCTTCAAAATTTCTTCAAAAAAGAGGGGAGGTCATGCCAAAATTTCTTGTGAATTTATTTTGGTGATTATATATAAATCAGAGGTGCCTAAAAGGTTAGCAACTTCATCCTCCAATGTTTTTTTTGTCATATTACATTTGGAGCTATGTTTTGCACACTTTTATGTCTCCAAAATTTAGTTGTAAGTTGATGAGAGAGAAAATTTGTGTGGGGGGAAGAAAGAATATATAGAAATTTAGATTATTTGCTAAAGAAGGTTTTATAAAATAGTTGAGAAGGAAAATATAGTGAAAGTTAATCTTAAATAATAGAAAACAAACTAAAATGAAAATTAAAAGAAGTACAACACATTAATATTAGTTTGAAACTTTA